TTTTTGCATTCAAAAGTCTTTGTGACTTCTCTTTTGACCGTATTCTCTGCTATATTTATTAATGTGATATAACGGATATAACTAACATTTGATTACCTGANATCTGTTATGATATAATTTGATATCTTAACGTAATGAAAGTGTTATGCTAAACTCATAACACACAGCATCTTCGCTTTCGCTCTCTGTGAGAGCAAAGTGAGCGTAATCCCTGGAGTAACTAGCTATACTTTGACACATATCAGTATAGCACATGTGTATTTTAGACATTTCGTTGTAACGAACCACTTTGCATACTATCTGCATTGTAAAAGATATGTCGGGAAATCTATATATCGATTCACAAAAGTACCAGCAAGCATGACGGCAACATTTGTGCATATGTGAAAAGTGGCTCGTTAACTGCTACAAAACAAGAGGCCCAGAGTGCCTGTATCGCTCAACTGGATATTTGTGCAATCACGGGAAAATATTCTCAATAATATTGAGTATCCTTTGCTTAAGAATGTCCCGGACCTTATGAAACTTTATACTCGTGCAATCACGGGAAAATAATCTCAATAATATTTAGTCTCCTTTGCTTAAAAATGTCCCAGACCATATGAAACTTTATACTCTCAATCCCTTCATGCTTCTGGTCAAATATCATCACCGAGGGCCTCCTGGTATTGCAGAAGAAGTTGTTTAAAGATATTTACATATTTGACCCCTGTGACCGGGATAGTAGGTCAAGGTCATTTTATGACCCATGTGACCTTGAAAGTAGGTCCAGGCCATTTATCTAGTGTTAGACGCCGGGCTCGTGACCGAAGGGTTGCGAGTTCGACTCTCGTCACGGCACTGTGTTGTATCTATGAGCAATACACTTTACTCCGCTTGTTCCAGCCTACTCAGTTGTAAATGAGTACATGGTTGGGTAGTGCTAGAATTGTAGAATGCTAGGTGTGAGCGCCGAAATGGCAGCACCGGCTGTATGCTCCCCATGGATTTGAGAAAGATATTGGCTGGTTGCAAAGGCCCTATAACCACGGAAAATAATGTGTGAACCGCTTCGAGACGACCTGCGATCTAGGTTGTGATAAAGCGGTATATAAGAACCTCGAATTATTATGATGAATATTATTATTTAGGGAAAGTTCATACCACTCTACCCATTGCTCTAGGCCTCTTGGTTGTTCAGGAGAAGATGTTTAAAGTTTTTAAACTCTTTAAAATTCTTCGTGCTAGGTGAACTAAAACCTGAACGATCGAAATGGCGTGTGATGTCAGAGGAAACGGAGAGCATGCCTTCGGAAGTGAGTATATTTTGCGTTCATGTAAGATGTTTCTAAAAGGAAAATTATCCATTTTTCCAACGGTACTAAGAATTTTCCGTACGACCACAAAAGTATGATTTAGGATGCGAGAAAATGTAAAAATTTCATTTGAAGATACTCCTATGTTTCATTTATACATGTTTTTTAAAACAAATATGGTATTTTATCATTTTTTCGTCAAATTTTGGAAAACAACCGATATGTGCGATTAACCTCACTATCAATCAAGCTTTCACAATGTAAATTTTCATCCCGTCACTTGAGTTTGTGAGTGAATATTACACAAACAGGGGTGTACCCACTTAAAACATCAATATTATGTGAATTCTAAACAAAATAACAAAACGTTTAGACAACTAATTTTGAACAATGATGTTCACTCATCACAGGCTTTGGAGGAAACATAGAAAAAAAGAATGGAGCTCATTTAAAAAATAAAAAATAAATAAAAATATCCATATTTGCATCCATAAACATAATAAACACCATATATATATCCCAATTTGAATGTCATTAAATTACGTTTCAAAACACATTGCGCAGTGGTGTAATTTATTTAGCAGCAAAACGCCTTAATGTGTTGAAACAGTAATCAAGGGTCGTTTATGTCCTTAAAGATATGTATATTCAAAGTTTACGAGTATATTCATGTTTACTCCTGTGCAGTATTTCAATTGTTATGTCTATAAAAAACAGAGTCACTCCAAAATCTAACGAGAATAACAAGCGGCTTGTATTTTTAAAATTTTCGAGTATACTGAAATTGCGTGGTCCACGAAAGGATGCTTAATCATTAACTGAACATTATTCTTAATTCATCTGTGTCATGATGCTAAGTGATATGTGCAATTTAGGATTTTGACATTGAATTGTAAACTTTTTTTACTATACTGACATGACATTAGATTTAGCAATTCGTTTCTGAAAAAAATACGTCGCAGGATATTTTTCTCTTTTTGAAAAAACAACAACATAAATGTGAAATATACAAAAAAAAACATAATCAGCGTTCTGAGTGTAAAAACGCAAAATCAAGAACAGTATTCGAGCCCTTGACCTCTTATCACAGCAGGCTCGCTCAAATAATTACCGACTGAACTATACCGAAGTTCCTGGCCCAGTCCAACTGCGCAGTTAATTATATCTAAAACGAAAGCAGGCGAAGGCTACGATATATGTACGGAAAACTACAATGGAAATCTCTCGTGTTTTGACTACAATGGGATAGGGATCCTTCAGCCCAATATTTGTATGTCCTGTATCTTTATGACCAATCAAGCATTTCCAAAGGTTTGATAAATTACGACTTTTCGTCTTTATACTTAAAACCGAATTAACAAATCCGGACAGCATTATACTGTTGACTTTCCATCCTTACAGCCAAGATGAAGAGGAGTTAGATTACATTTAAGTGTTTACGCGCACACTTTCGTTACAAGAGGACCTGGCTACTCTCACGGTCTACATGTCAGTGAGCTAGCTAATGTCCAAATATCCTTGTTCTTTGACTTTCCGTTCTTTAGAAGTCGTATGAGTGCTTTCACAAATCTTAGCCCTGTGACATTCAGTATCGGTAAGAGTAATTTATTTTCGCAAATTTTATAACAAATAAGCCTTAAAGCCAATGAAAAAGATATCACGGCCTTTCGGTACTTCATTAGAGGTCGTTCGATCGTTTTAACAAAGAAGGTCCCTGTGACTTTGAATATATAGCTCAATATCATTACTTTTCGGAAACTTTCATTGTAGCACGCTTTACAACCAAGCTTCTCGAAGAAGATCATGACTCGGAAAAAGTCGTTCGGGCGTATTGCTACTGATATGACTCCTACATGTAATATTAATTATATGCCAGTGTCATTTCTTTTTACAAACTTTGTCATGATACTGGCCAAATAACATGACTCTAAGCTTTTCAGTGTTTCAGAAGAAGTCGTTTGGACCTGCAATATGTTCCAAGGTAATTTTTCACAAATTTTGAAGCAATTTATTCCTGCTTATTACCAACGTATTATCATGATTCGAGACCTTTCAGCTACTTAGAAGAAGTCGTTTGAGTGAATAAACAAATTTGGCTCTGAACTTGAATACATGTCAACACCAGTTTTTATGCACTGGTTTTGTTTACCAAGGACACTTTGTTATAAATATCAATTCCAAACATAGGACTATTAATCTAAAACCGTATACCTTTATTGGCCCCGAAAGAGTCATAATCAGATTCAGATTAGTTTATTCCTTGTGTGAGACACATCGGGGAGTAGACATACAATGGCATAGCATAGAAATACAAATAGTATGGTATATTACAAATTTACAATGATACATGTAGACAATTATAGTCGAATACAATAGGATGCATATTAATTGTACAATGGCACTCCTTTCAAATCTCTGTTAAAGCCAACTGGTGAAAATAGCTTCTACATTTGGTTGTAATTGGCAATTTGGTACTTTAGAAGTTGTCATTTAAAGTATTATAAACAGACGGATGACACAAAATGTAACTCATCTTATTATTTTTTCACCTAAGTACGCTCACGAGACCTTTTTAACATCTGATAAAATCTTATTTACAATTATTTTGAAATTTTGTTTTGGTCTATATTTATCATTCTTGTTAAATCTTTTCCATATTCACAAATAAAAACATGTCAATACTTTAGCTTTCTAACAGCAGATAAAGATAAACTCTCCTTGGCCTATATGCTGGTCGTTTAAGTCCCTATTCAGGTCTTTAGTGGATCCCTAACTATCGCTTAAATCAATGAAAAATAATGCTTCGTGGATGTCTAATATACAATAAAAATAATTGTATATCGCATTACGGTTCAATATTTATATATGACTGAATTCATTGACTTTATACAACTGTCAACGTTTCTTTTGAAAATGTTTCCTTCTTATTTTTATTAGCACTATTCTAAGCGGCATAATATCTGTCTTTCCAAAATGACGTACGATTTGTTGGGTGGAAAGAAAGGAACTTTGATCGACTATAAATGATCGATTGTTTTGCGTCTTTAAGTTGACGGTGAAATGCTACTATAGAAATGAACCTGAAGAATATATTCAGAGACTTCAATCCAAGGTAGGCCTACTGCTGCTTTCGTGTCGTCGCACTGATATTTACTTATCACGCTATTCACGGCGACTGCTGACTATTGACTGGTTGACCTCCCATTTTGAGTCGACAAGGCCATTTGTTACGAATTAGTCATTAATTGCATAGTAACTTACATGTTATTGTATCTTTTATATGTCTCTAATAAGATGGTAGACCAGGTTTTATACCGACCAAATTTGTATATACCCTACTAAATCTGTAGCAGATGGAATAGTTTTACGTTCAATATATATAACAGTACATTGTATATGTAAATAGTGTTAGAACATTCTTGAGACATTGCAATGCATTAGAGTTTTTGTTCTGTAAAATGTACATAGAAAATGTTAGAAAAGTTTAAGTGAACTGTCACACGAGTTTATATATATATCAAATGGATTTTCCTGTCTGACACCAATAAAATACTCCCAGACAATTTCACCAATGTAGTGGGTTTATTAAAGACAATAATGAAACAACTAGGAGACACAAGACACAACTTATCAAGGATTTATGAAATAAAAGTCAATCATCAAATATTTACATATAAAACTAAACCACTAGTTTGACCATTGTTGAAAAACATTTCAAAACATTTGCTTCAGGTTGGTATTAAAGTATGCATTATGAAAAGTTCTTCATAAAATAGATTCAATCACAACAGAAAAGTTCTTGTTACACAACCAATAAGTGTTTCTATGTGACGTTTCAAAGACTAGTACAATATGAACACTTGTCACCTTCATCAGACAAATGATCAGTGAAGCGTATGCACACAAAGGTGTAAAATGTATTTGAGTTGTCCACAAAATCACAACAGCCATGAAGCCCCACGAGTGAAGACGCTTCGTAATATCCTTGTAAACCCTAAGGATAAAACACATAAAGAAAATGTCGCTGAAAGTGTATACAAAATTGGATGCAAAAACTGTGATGCATCATATATTGGAGAGACTGGAAGGCGATTTGGGGTCCCCCTAATGGTGAACACTGGAAGATATGGAAACCCAAGAAAGAAGAAAATTCACTAGATCAGAAAGGAAGCAGTCGGAGTCCCAGATTAATAAATCGGCAATCACAGACCATGCCACACAGAAAAAAAATGTGATTGACTGGGATAACTCCAAAGTATTGGACAGAGAGAGCAATCTGTTCAAGCGGCAGTTAAAGGAGCCATCTGGATACACCGCAGACGAGGGGGCTCAAAGACTCTCGCACATCTATGACCAAGTATTACACAAAGCGTAGCTGAAACGAGTCATTTTGGTGCATATTTAACAACTATTGTACATAGAAGAATCAACATTGATTTTGTGGACAACTCGTGCATTCTTTACACCTTTGTGTGCAAACGCTTCACTGGTCATTTGTCTGATGACGGTGACAGTGTACATACCGTACAATCATTGAAACGTCACAAAGAAACATTTATTGGTTGTGTAACAAGAACTTTTCATAATCCATTGTTGAAAAAAATATAAACTTTGTCATTAATTTATTGTAGAATATTGAGCTTTGAAAACATTTTTTTTCCTTAAGTAGAATTATATACTTATTATGTATTCAAATTGAAATCCTTGTGCCTTAAGATGTGTCAATGGGGTTGCAGTGGCCAAGTGGTTAATAGTGTTGGGAATCACTTGTAAATTCAAGTGACTGATGATTGACTAATGATCGATCAAATTGAACTTAAATTCAGTAATTTAAGGTTGTATGTCGCTTTCCGAAATCTACTTTCACTTTCGTTAACGGGGAAACCCCAACGTTAGAGAATTTCGCTAATAACACACAACATTCATACCAAAAACAATAAGTTGTTGACAGAACCTTATAATTATTGAAAAATATGTATTTGGAAATGAAATTGGTGTTGTTTGCAATGTCAATTATGCTGTGAGAGCTGTATCTTGTATTCACAAATGATGCAATGGATTGGTATTCACCTGATGACACCCCGTCAAACTTAACATTTTATTAGCTCACCTGGTCCGAAGGACCATGGTGAGCTTATGCCGTACCGCATCGTCCGTCGTCTGTCAACTTTTCCTTTAAAACACTACTAGTCATGAACGACTGAGCAGATTTTGACTAAACTTGGTCAGAAGTGGAAGGGGAACATATTTTGTTTAAATGGTGGGTCTGGCCCCCCTGGGGGCTTAGTGGCGGAGCCGAATAGGGGAAATATAGCAAATTATTTAAAATCCTTCTTCTTCTGTAGGAATGAAAGGATTTGTTCCATATCTTGTCTAAAGCATCCTGTGGTGAAAGGGAAGAATTTTTGTATAAATGGTGGGTCTGGCCCCCCAGGGGCCAGAAAGGAGGGGCCCAATAGGGGAAACATAGCAAATTCTTCAAAATCCTTCTTCTTCTGTAGGAAGTACAGGATTTTGTCCAATTTTGGTGTGAAGCACCCTGGGGTGAAGGGGAACCAATCTTGTATAAATGCTGTGTCTGACCCCCCTGAGGCAGAGAGGCGGGGCCTAATAGGGGAAATATAGGTAAAACCTATAAAATCCTTCTTCTACCATAGGGATTAAAGGATTTTATCCTCATTTAGTCTGGAGCATCCTTGAGCCAAGGGGACTTAATTTTGTATAATCAGTGGTTGTGGTCTCCCAGGGGGCAGAAGGGCAGGGCCCAAAAGGAGAAATAGAGGTAAAACCTTTAAAATCCTTCTTCGACCATCAGGATTAAGGGATTTTATCCTTATTTAGTCTGGAGCATCCTTTGGTCCTTGTATAAATGGTGGGTATGACCCCCCTAGGGGCATAGGGGTGGGGCTCTGTTTGAAGTTTGTTCTCGCTATATCTCAAGTACTGGATGGATCTTTCTGAAATTTCATATGTACTTACAGCTTCTACCATGGAGTGTTATATCTTTACTTCGTAATTATTTTAAACATATTCAGGTGAGCGATACAAGCCCTTTGTGCCTCTTGTTTGTAAGATAGCCTACACTTTCGACAAAGCGTTTTATTTATATCAAGCTAAGGACAAACAATACCTTCTAAACGTTTAAATCAGTAGCCCCCGGATGATCATAGAAATTAATCTCCAGAATGTCCTGGTTTGCCATATTGTCACGCATTGACTAAGCCGGCGCGCCATGCAGCATTTCTATTGAAGCGCAAGTTTTGATTGGTTGTTAGGTGGACCGGCTAGCCAATGTGAGACGTTCAGTCAAGTTGTTTTGCCCAAGAAAGCAGTATCCAAGTTTATATTTTGTTAATACTTAAATTAGTCAGACTATAATTGATCATGGAAAACAAGGATCGATTAACCGATTTTCAGAAACAAACAATTAGACTTCGCCTAATCGATTAATTGGAACAACACTAGTGGTTAAGGCGTCTGACATTCTGCTACCACTGGCCCTCCACCACTGGGTCGCGGGTTCGAGACCTACGTGGAGCAGTCGCCAGGTACTGGCCGTAGGTCGGTGGTTTTTCTCCGGGAACTCCGGCTTTCCTTCACCATCAAAACCTGGCACGTCCTTAAATGACCATAGCTGTTAATAGGACGTAACAAACAAACAAACAAACAAACAAACAAGATGTGTCAAATTTTAACATAAATGTTGAGTATGTTTCAAGAGCCATTCAGATTAAATTTCTACCCATGAATTCAAGTACCTGGTAATAAGTACAACATAATACAAAGGTCGCAATTACATACATCACTCAAACATTTAGTTTCCTAAGAACTTGAAGAAAGCAAATGAGTGATGCACTATGTTTGCAGCCTCAACCCCTCCCTAGCCTCTCCATACATATATTATACACAGCTAATATTCTGTCAGTCTGCATTAAAACTTCACCAATTCTTACCTTTCAGTAAATTTCTGGTATTTACCAGCCTGTTGGTGTTTTCCCTCCTGTTTGCACTGCGCCTAGACAACACCATTCAGTGGAGTTATTGGGTGATTTTCCTGCCCATCTGGATATGGAAGTTGATGGTTGTCCTGGGTGCAGTGACAGGCAGCTACATCTGGTGGAAACACCCCCACTACAGGTGAGCTAACACCCCCACTATAAATGAGTTCTACAACCCCACTACACGGGAGTTAAAACTCCCATATCAGGTAAGCTAACACCCCCACTACAGGCAAGTTAAAACCCCCATAACAGGTGAGCTAACACCACCACTATAAATGAGTTCTACAACCCGACTACAGGTGAGTTAAAACTCCCATATCAGGTAAGCTAACACCCCCACTACAAATGAGTTCTACAACCCCTCTACAGGGGTGGTAAAACTCCCATAACAGTTTATTTAACACCCCCACTACAGGCAAGTTAAAACCCCCATAACAGGTGAGCTAACCCCCCCCCTATAAATGAGTTCTACCACCCCACTACAGGGAAGTTAAAACTCCCATAACAGTTTATTTAACACCCCCACTACAGGCGAGTTAAAACTCCCATATCAGGTAAGCTAACACCCCCACTATAAATCAGTTCTACAACCCCACTCCAGGTGAGTTAAAACTCCCATAACAGGTGAGCTAACACCCCCACTATAAATGAGTTCTGCAACCCCACTACAGGTGTGTTAAAACTCCCATAACAGGTGAGTTAACACCCCCACTACAGGTGAGTTATATAACCGCGCTACAGGTGAGTTAAAACTCCCATAACAGGTGAGCTAACACCCCCACTACAGGTGAGTTAAAACACCCATAACAGGTGAGTTAACACCCCCACTACAGGTGAGTTAAAACTCCCATAACAGGTGAGTTAACACCCCCACTACAGGTGAGTTAAAACTCCCATAACAGGTGAGCTAACACCCCCACTACAGGTGAGTTAAAACACCCATAACAGGTGAGCTAACACCCCCACTATAAATGAGTTCTACAACCCCACTACAGGTGAGTTAACACCCCCACTACAGGTGAGTTAACACCCCCATAACAGGTAAGTTATATAACCGCGCTACAGGTGAGTTATATAACCGCGCTACAGGTGAGATATATAACCGCGCTACAGGTAAGTTATATAACCCCGCTACAGGTGAGTTAACAACCCCACTACAGGTGAGGTAACACCCCCACTACAGGGGAGTTAAAACACCCATAACAGGTGAGCTAACACCCCCACTACAGGTGCGTTAACACCCCCACTACACGTGAGTTAACACCCCCAGTACAGGTGAGTTATATAACGCCAGTACAGGTGAGTTAAAACACTCATAACAGGTGAGTTAACACCCCCGCTACAGGTGAGTTATATAGCCGCGCTACAGGTGAGTTATATAACGCCAGTACAGGTGAGTTATATACCCGCGCTACAGGTGAGTTAACAACCCCACTACAGGTGAGTTACCACCCCCACTACAGGTGCGTTAACACCCCCACTACTGGTGAGTTAACACCACCACTACAGGTGAGTTATATACCCGCGCTACAGGTGAGTTAACACCCTCACTAAAGGTGAGTTAACTCCCCCACTACAGGTGAGTTACCACCCCCACTACAGGTGATTTAACACCCCAACTACAGGTGAGTTAACTCCCCCACTACAGGTGAGCTAACACCCCCACTATAAATTAGTTCTACACCCCCACTACAGGTTAGTTAACACCCCCACTACCGGTGAGTTATATAACCCCACTACAGGTGAGGTAACACCCCCACTACAGGCGAGTTAACACCCCCACTAAAGGTGAGTTAAAACCCCCACTACAGGTGATTTAACACCCTCACTAAAGGTGAGTTAAAACCCCCACTACAGGTGAGTTGACACCCCCACTACAGGTCAGGTAACACCCCCACAACAGGTGAGGTAACACCCCCACTACAGGGGAGTTAAACCCCCCACTACAGGGGAGTTAACACCCCCACTCCAGGTGAGTTAACACCCCCGCTACAGGTGAGTTATATACCCCCGCTACAGGTGAGTTATATAACCGCGCTACAGGTGAGTTAACACGCCCACTACAGGTGAGCTAACACCCCCACTACAGGTGAGTTAACACCCCCACTACAGGTGAGCATAACTCCAGGAAGATGATCCTGAATGGACAGGACAAAAACAGAAGTCCCTTTGTTCTCCATTTAGTACTTCCTCTCTGAATGTTGTAGCTTAGGATTTGGGAATGAAACAATAAGAACAAAGATTATAACATCTTTTTTATTTCTGATACCGACTCTTTTGACAAAATCCCCTATGTCCTAATATCTGTTAATAAAATCTCTTGTGCTCTTATATTTATATTGTATTCCTCTACAGAGTGGAAGGAAATAACTATGTACAGTATAAGGCCATGGTGATCTGTACTGGCATGCATCTGCTACTGCTGATGTTTGAGATCTTAGCCTGTGATAACTTGGAGTCGCCACACAACCGACACCCATGGATCCTCGTCTTCATCCCTCTCATGTGTATGTCTGTCATCTCCATCGGGATCTGTGTGTGGGCGGTGAAAAATGACCGCTCCTTTGAGGTAAGATGATAGGAGTAGATAATTCAGATTTAAAAAAAAAGAATGTCTGATCGTTGGAGATGTACACATGATAAATCTTGTATGTAAAACTCATTTGATGAATTATTATATCGTATTGAATGCGAAATTTTTAAAAATAGATTAGTTAGAAACAACATCTTATGTTCAACAAGATTCAATCAATTGCATCTTATTCATTACATATTATCACTTAATTTTTCAAATATTTAAATTTATACATACTCATTTTAACAATTGTGCTTAAAACAAATTCTTCTTGAAATGAATAATACCAGATATATATCACTTGCTTGACTATTCATGAGGTATTTTAAATTGGGTTCATTGCATCTGGAATAAATATCAAAATGTGTGTCTTGAACAACATATTACATTGACAGTAATTAGATGCTGCCATCCAAGTGGTCATGTACATTTTAAAGTGTCCAGGTACTGGTAGACACATACTTGACAACACACCCTATTTTGCTTGGAGACTCCAAATGTATACCTTAAAATTGAGCATTTTCAACTAGGGAATCTGTTAAACTATTCCTATTTTCTAAGATCTGATGATTTCATCTGAAATAACACTAAGACGCCATTTTTAAATGTTATTTTGTCCCATGGATTATACGCACACATTTTTATTAAATTTAATGTTTATAACTTTGAGCACATGTTATCAAATTAAATGTTTATAACTTCGAGCACAGGTTATCTCCCCTAAGGAAATTTTGCTGGCACTAGGCTGGCATGAGGGGAAACTTGTGATAGAGCTTATGACTTTCTAGTTTTTGTTTCCCCGTAGCCCTTAATTGTTTTCTTTTTGTTGTTGTTTTTTTCAGCTGGAACTTTTCTCGTCTGTTAACATTCTACAATTTATATTCTTCGCCCTCCGGTTAGACAATACAATTGACTGGAGTTGGGTGGTAAGTATGACACCCATTTGAGGTGTTTCAGTGAGTTAGGGGATACCTAAGGTGTTAGATCTGTTTTAGTTTTGTCAGTTAGTTTATATGTCTGATATCTGGTTTAGTTCTGTCAGTTAATTCATCAGTCTGACATCTGTTTTAGTTTTGTCAGTTAGTTTATCAGTCTGACATCTGTTTTAGTTTTGTCAGTTAATTCATGTTTGACATCTGTTTTCGTTTTCGCAATTATTTCATGTTTGACATCTGTTTTCGTTTTCGCAATTATTTCATGTTTGACACCTCTTTTAGTTTTGTCAGTTAATTCATGTCTGACATCTGTTTTAGTTTTGTCAGTTAATTCATGTTTGACATCTGTTTTAGTTTTCGCAATTATTTCATGTTTGACATCTGTTTTAGTTTTGTCAGTTAATTCATGTTTGACATCTGTTTTAGTTTTGTCAGTTTATTCATGTTTGACATCTCTTTTAGTTTTGTCAGTTAATTCATGTTTGACATCTGTTTTAGTTTTCACAATTAATTCATCTGTTTGACATCTGTTTTAGTTGTGTCAGTTAGTTCATCTGTCTGACATCTGTTTTAGTTGTGTCAGTTAGTTCATCTGTCTGACATCTGTTTTAGTTCTGTCAGTTAGCTTATCTGTCTGACATCTGTTTTAGTGTTGTCAGTTAGTTCTTCTGTCTGACATCTGTTTTAGTTGTGTCAGTTAGTTTATCTGTCTGACATCTGTTTTAGTTTTGTCAGTTAATTCATGTTTGACATCTGTTTTAGTTTTCGCAATTAATTCATCTGTTTGACATCTGTTTTAGTTGTGTCAGTTAGTTCATCTGTCTGACATCTGTTTTAGTTTTGTCAGTTTGTTCATCTGTCTGACATCTGTTTTAGTTTTGTCAGTTAATTCATCTGTTTGACATCTGTTTTAGTTGTGTCAGTTAGTTCATCTGTCTGACATCTGTTTTATTGTTGTCAGTTAGTTCATCTGTCTGAGATCTGTTTTAGTTCTGTCAGTTAGTTCATCTGCCTGACATCTGTTTTAGTGTTGTCAGTTAGTTCTTCTGTCTGACATCTGTTTTAGTTGTGTCAGTTAGTTCATCTGTCTGACATCTGTTTTAGTTCTGTCAGTTAATCCATCTGTTTGACATCTGTTTTAGTTCTGTCAGTTAGTTCATCTGCCTGACATCTGTTTAAGTTCTGTAAGTTAGTTCCATCATATGTATGATGTCCGTTTTACGTTTGTTAGTGTGTGAGGTGATACTTTTCAGGTCTATTTTAGCTGTGTCAGAAAGTTTGGTTGAAACTAATGGTCTGTAACATTAAGATTGAACAAAACAAAAAACAATTTTTCATCAATTTGAAAAATAAAAAGTTTAAACGAGAATTAATATCAGTACTATTACTGTACAGTGAAATGGTGATGTTAGGGAGACAATTTATACATTTATTCTGTGAATGTGAACTGGGCTTATATTCATTATTAAGGAAAAAAATTGAATTGTTTAAAAATATTGGAACTTAAATACAACAATCAATATATATATCCTATGGTATATTTTGAAATAGTAATATGTATGTCAGCATAAATTCATCTGACTATGTAACTACCCAGGTTTTTACAATGTAAAAGTACCATGGACTAGTAAAGATTAATGCTTAACATGCTTATCATCTTCAACCAGTGGTTTAAAAATCAGGATTATATACTACCGATATCTGCAATAGTTCAAAACAATCTCCATACTAAATGCATATTTCTCTGGTTCATTTTGTTTCAATAAATCTATGAACTTGAAAATTCTATGTCAGTCCATTTTTAAATGGCGGTGAAAAGTGGAATGGGTTATGCTGTCCTGCAATCAATCCATCTGTACTTCTGTCTGTTTGCATTTTCTTTTGACTGCAACTAGTCCAACAGTTTTTGACCAAATCTTTTGAGATTTTGTATGTGTGATGGGTATCATATAAAGATAAAAGAATATTCATGTGTATATTGAATTGAAAGTGAAGCAAGATAATTACAAATAAATAATTTAGAAGCAAAATTAGGAGATTTTATTTTTAATCAACATCAGATTACTCACAGTGTATTTGTGTACCATGACATAATGCGGTTGATCATGGATGATAAAATGACTTATAATGTTACTATTGTGTTTTTACAGATTGTTTTTATTCCAATCTGGATTGTAATGTGCACGGCTATGATTGGTGTATTATATGCGATCATCCTGGCCATCATCCTGGTCAAGTCGCCTGACATCATTCCTGAACAGAGGCGAGGAAACATCTCCTCTGCCGTAGGATATGCGTTTCTGGTGATACCATTACTTATATTTGAGGTGAGTCGGGAAAAAATAATGACGTTTATAATTCTGAACATCCAACTCTTTATGAAATAAAAATCGTCCAAGTTAAATTTCCGCCCTTCACAAGGGAACTTCATATTTGCCCAATGTTAATTTCAACCTTCACATGAGATAAATATATATATTATGCTGTGTACTAATACTTGCTGTTATGATGGTTAAACTGGCTAAAATTTCCTGGCATACAGTGAAAAAATAAGGATTCCTGTATCGTAACCATGTATTGGAAACTGTTTTTTTGACTATTGCTGTAATAAATCATCCCTTACCTTGTGAGACTTTTATGAGAAATAGCAGTGTTCTGTAAAACTTCAGCAGTGTCAGACCAGGATTCGAACCCTGAACTACAGATTGTTATATTATCACTCTTACCGATTGAGCTACCTGGCTTAAATATACTTACCAACTCTCCCCATTTTGGACCCTAAAATTGAGCATTTCCAACCAATGAATTATATGCTGATTTCATCTGAAAAAACAGCTCAAAAGATGCCTTTTTATTGTGTTGTTTTTTCCCTAGAGTATATATGCACACATTTTATTTATGCTTTCAATTTTGAGAATGCGCAAAATCCCCCATGAAAGTTTTAAAAAGTTGACAAGTATGCTAAAGATGTGGCCTGTCCCAACTGTGCTACAGTTATAGCCATCTCAAAGTTAAGGGGAGGTAACTGCATATAGAAATCCCACTATGCAGTGGGACAGGGATGGAAGTTAACGGGAGGTTACTGTATATAGAAATCCCACTGTGCAGTGGGACAGGGAGGGAAGTTAAGGGGAGGTTACTGTATATAGAAATCGCACTGTGCAGTGGGACAGAGATCCTGAAGCAGCCCATATACATGTACCAATAGGCAATATCCATAGTATCATAATGTACCTTGTTCAGTTTACCTGTGATCCTGTTCTGAATTATATATGGGAACATACTACAGGTAACTCTGAACAGACTGCAGGTAACTCTGAACAGACTACAGGTAACTCTGAACAGACTACAGGTAACTCTGAACATACTACAGGTAACTCTGAACAGACTACAGGTAACTCTGAACAGTCTACTGTTTAATGCTTATAAGTTACACTCAAAGTTTAAAAAGTGGGCATCTTATAAACTGGAGAAACAGGATTTGTAATTATAATTCAAACTATTTAATGGAAAGGATTGCTGTCCCTCAGCTAGAATGTATTTGATCATCTGATCTTACTACTGATTTATTATTTGTGGATGGAAGACTTTGAGTTTAAATTAAAGTTATGCAATGAAAAAAAGAATACTGTCTTTACCAGCTTCGTGCTGTACAAAGCTGTCAATACTCCCTCATTAGGAGGGAGACTCCATCATTTTGACCGAAATACACCAATCTCCCTCGAAACTCCCTCATTCAAATCCAAACTCGCACAAACTGAAAATCTATATTCGAGGTCAAATTATCTGCTAGTTACAACAGGGTGTGTGTAATTATCATAACAGGTGTGTCTGAATGCTTTTTTGGAGTTATTTTGATACATAAAAAGGGACAGATAAATTGATCAAAGCAGTGTTAGTCATGTTTCATACACTTTCTCCCTCATTGGAAATGTGGAATGAGGGAGATCTCCTTCATTGGAGGTTTCAGAGGTTGAAACCTATTGCTGTAATGTGACTTTGTGAAATTTGACAAAATTGTAGTGATTAAGTTGTTTTCAGTGTAACATCACATTAACAATAGTGTGCTTTCCGTTTGTTCCTGGGGAGGAGGTGAAGTTTCGTATAGTTTATATAGGAAATAAACATAATAGGCCATATCTTCCATTGTTTTGAACGGGAGTTGTTCATATTTGACAGAAATACTTGTTAGGGGGAGGGAGGTCTGCTGGTAAAATTTTAATGAGCATGACCCCTTAGGGGGCTGAGTTAGGGGCCGAAAAGGGGGGGGGGATTTAGGGAAATTTCAAAAATCTTCTTCTCCAGTTCTAGAAATGCTAGAATCAAATACTACTCATAGCTGTAAAGACCTTATGGAGGTTTATAAAATTTGTGATTTTCATGTCTCTCAGGGCCCCCGTTTGCCCCTGAGAAAGGGGTGAAGTTTAGTATAGTTTATATAGGAAATAAACATAATAGGCCATATCTTCCAATTTTGCTCATATTTGACAGAAATACTTGTTAGTGGAGGGAGGTCTGCTGGTTTAATATTGGTGAGTCTGACCCCCTAGGGGCCTGAGTAAGGGGCCGAAAAGGGGGGGGGGGGTGAATTTAGGGAAATTTAAAAATCTTCTACTCCAGTTCTAGAAATGCTAGAATCAAATACTACACATAGCTGTAAAAGCGTTTGGGTGGTGGTTTATAAAAATTGTGATTTTCATGTCTACCAGGCACCCTGTTTGCCCCTGGTGAGGGGATGAAATTTAGTATAGTTTATATAGGAAATAAACATAATAGGACATATCTTCCAATGTTTTGAACGGAATTTGCTCATATTTGACAGAAATACTTGTTAGGGGAGGAAGGGGGTCTGCTGGTATAATTTTTGTGACTCTGACCCCCTAGGGGGCTGTGTTTGGGGTGAAAAAGGAGGCGAATTTCAAAAATCTAATTCTGCAGTTTCAGAAATGCTAGTATGAAATACTACTCATAATTGTAAAAGCCTTTGAGTGGTTTATATAATTTGTGATTTTCATGTAAAATTTAAAAGACCATTCGACAAATGAACAGCCATCACATACTTTTTATCTCCAACCCAACAAATGTGCTAGTAATAGTAACAACCTTAATTCTTTATGAATTATAAAGTCTCCTTAGTAACGCTTCAAAGTTCTTAAACAAATTGGCATTACAGAGCAAATGTAAATATTGTGCCATGATTGCTTAAATAACCAGATGAGCGATACAGGCCCCCTGGGCCTCTTGTTCTTTGAGCACTCCAGTTTTCCTCCACATCCAAAACCGTGACACAACCGTAAATGACCACAACAAACTCGGTGTGTGTCCCTATGACAAGTGTACCCAGTGATGGTTGCAGACCTTTACGTTCTGTTTCAGATATTACTGACGAATCGTCTGGATGGCGACAATCATATCAAGTACACCGCCATCACAGCACCTCTGTTTATATCCCTCCTTACTCTCATCTGTCTCGCGTTTGGTGCTAAGGGAGGCAACTGCTGTAAGTACTGTTTCCTAATCTATGAACCATCAGTATATTTTTGGCAAAAAAAGTTGTACAGGTTTATGTTGTGATTTTGATATAAGTTATTGATGTAAAGGATGTTAGTAAATAATATTAATTCCACATTGATTTATCTATGGTGAGTTGTAATTATTTATACATATATTTAATTGATGTAAGGGAGGATTATATAAAACTCATCAAGCAGAAGTTAAGGTTTATTTTCACAAAAATAATTGTCCCAAGTAAAATAACTATGGAATAAATTTGTGATTTCAATAGTTAAAGTCACGGGAAACATTGGGTCATTGTTCTTATCGTGTCCGGCTATTGATGATGTCACAATATTGAAGTAAGGCAATTAAATTCAAAGGAAAACCCATATGATTGAAACTCTGTTTATATAAATATATATCAACATTACTGATTCTTTGGGTCTTAACTTTCAAAAATCCTTAATTCTAGCATACATTTCAATACCCATTATTCTATATTTAGTATTAATTGGTAAGTAATATATTTGTGATTTTGTTTTTCAGGGTGGTTTGGTATACGAAAAGACTTTTGTCAGTTCTTACTAGGAGTGTGTCCAGTTTTACAAGAGTACGGAAATATATCTTACTCGCTCCACAGTGACGATACAGACCCAGAGGAAAATATTGTGGAAACGGGGAAAATAGACATGTGTCAATCAAAAAAACATCATATTTCAGACCAACCAAAGGCAGTTGTACCGGTTATATCTATAGAGACCCCGGATTGATTAAAGACGAAATATATGATCATCTTCATTTTCATCTCAAGTTTTCTCCCACACGTATTATTATATAATAATTTGTCCACACTCCCGACTCATTGGTAGACCTGCTAATATTTGGTCAACATTTTTGGCTACCTACTATTCTGTACCACCCGTGACATGATTTCATTGGTCAATCTTTGAGTTGTGATATCACTTAACAACGCTTTGCACCATGTGATGTCATGATTCGTGGCAATATTTCCCCAATGAAAAACAAAAATGATGCACTTCCAATGGAAATATGTTGGGTTTTTTTCTTTTATGGTACGAACGTTATGGAAGGAAAAGGTAACCAAACTTGTGATGACTGGTTATCATGTTGATCTTTATCTTATGATTGATTTTCAAATTTTACTTTCGGCAAACCTTGTGTCTTTACACAAAAGTTAAAAGTTAACTTACTTATATTTCGTAAACCTGTTAACCAACCCTCAGTCATCGGGAAACCTCAATATAAGTTATCATCCTCGAAATACATATATATATCTTCCCTACATCCCTGAAATAGGTCATAGCTCTTTTCAGGCAACACCTTGCAGATGATTCAAGTTGAATCGAATGCTCAGCAGTGAAATGGTAAAATCAACAGGCTTTAACGTCGACTGCATGTAGCTTCTCAGTACTCTTCAAAGGGCAGGTAGGTATTGGCATAGAGATTGGTCAGGTTTCGTACCTGAAACCAATCAAGTGATTACCACAAGCGTTTGATTTCTCATGACATATTCGTGGTAAACAGAGAAGATATGTGTTTCGTAGAGGAACCCTCGGATTCCAGGAGTTAAGTTGTTGACGAAGTGCAAATTACATTATTTTGTATATTGCTGACAAATTAACATATTTCAATTCTTTATTCCTATTTTTTTCTGAATAAATGTGTTCTTCCAATACATCTATTCAATGAAAGAAAAACACGCCATATTTTACCTATTTGCCAATAGGATCCCCTAATTTTCCCCATGTTTGAACCTACATGTGTCTCTGTGATACCCATGGATGATTTTACAACCCGTCAATAATATGTATTAAATTGTGATGTTATAAACATGTATGTATGTAATTGGTGGGTTGTCTCTAAATGAGATACAGGGAGATAAATTGAAATACATCTATGTGTGCCAAATTTCTCTTTCCTGTCCCAATGTAAGCACCGTGGAATATGATGTATTTCCTTAAAACAAAAATTAACAGCTATGTTGGGTACCACAGATCATTTACCCTATCGTTTTCGTGAACACTTATTTACCATATACATACCTGCTACATGATTGTACTTCAAAAAAGTTTTAAATTGTAATTTAAATTTCTATCTTACAATCCACTTAACGTGTGTGACATCACCATGGGATAACAATGATGCGATGTGACCACATCGGGCACGTCCCAATGCCGCGATGCGGAAATTGGTGTTTTGAATAAGACAAGCATTCTCTTTCAAACCAAGGAGTGCAGGCAAGCGAAATTCCACCCTCAGGATTTTTAAATTGTGAAAAGTCCTCGGCACGCATGAAGTTTTACCCTGTATGAAAACCCCTTGGATGGAATTTCCCAATCCTACACCCTTTGGCACAAAAGACTCCTATCATAATTTGTGTATTTATAACCCCTCCCCAACATACGAAGCTTGGGGGCCCCGTTTGCGGGAGTATGAAAGAATCACTGTGTCCGTCCGTCTGTCCAATGATCCTTGTAAGTGCAACTCTTCCTGATGAGTACTATATTTCTGTGAGCGCGCTCACAGTTTATCTAGTGTCATTTGTTAAGATGACTTACGAATAAATATATGATTTGAATTTGCAACATAAACACGTCAAGGATTAAAACATGACACATAAGCCAGTGTCTGTGAATTTAAATAACTGCTTATATCATAAATACATCAATATCATGATAATTTGTATTCACAAAATTACCTTTAATGTATCGATCCGATGTTTAAAAACTGTCTGAACATAAAATCTTAAGATTTTGGAGTCCGTGATCACAGAATATCAAATTTGTATCAATATGGCCGAAATTTAGCGCCTACGGGCAAGGTGTAGCCTATAAATGTCTCGTGTGCAGTTGACATGTACAGACCATATACTGACTGTGGTTGCTATACTCCCATCATAGATGGAGCTTTGATCTCCTGCAGCCTGATAGACTTTTAGCTTCTCATGGATCGTTTGAAAATTTATTCTTAAATACACATTTATGGGTTTACAGTAGTTTTGCAAATATCCTAGGAACAAATCCCGAATTATCCATTGTTTCACAATGTGAAATGGATGTGCACATTTCCTTTCCATGTTATCAAACACTTTGTGAATAATGTAGGAAATTGCTTGTATGATATGACAAATTATGTGATAAATAAAATGTAATTAATTTATTCTGCGTGTTACTAGACTTTATCGTTCTGTTGCTTGATTTCTAGAAGTCCGTGTTCAGTCACTTTTTTTTCGAAAATGTCATTCAACTTTTTACCTTGCCTACGTATATTCAGTTTTACCAAACATGACCTCATCCTCGATATCCAGGGGTTACGCTCACTTGCGCTCTCTGCACCCCTGCAATATGTCCTAGCAAAATTGAAGGCACGAAGATAGCTGTTTAATTGGTCTCCGGTAAAAGAAAAACGTGACCAATCGCTAGGCTGATGCCTGTCCTTTTTTTGAAGATTACAAAGGAGAGACGTCCGACTTCGAAGCCTGTCAATTTTTACCGTTACCTGACCGCGGAATTTTTTATATCAAAGGATCGAATTAGGCTTCTTGTCTCGTCAAGTTTGACAACAAGGTGGCGCACACTGAGCCTTACATTTTTCTATGACATATTCCAGGGGTGTAGAGAGCGAAAGTGAGCGTAACCACTGGATATCAAGGATGACATGACCTCAGCTAATTTAATGATTGGTCGATCTTCTTTCATGGGAGGGGGGGGGGAGCTCGAGAAAACAAGATTTTGACTGATGTAATTCCAAATTGTTGCGTAGTGTCTTTGATCTACATGAGGTAACGCCATGAACAGCGATTTTGTCCGTCAGCGTGTCCTATACCGGTTGTCATATAACATGTAATTGCGATTTCTGTATTGGACTCAGCAAAACATATGTATCCTCTCCAGGTACAATTCCTCCAGAGTGAGTTCCTTTATCACGTTTCGCTGCATGGAGAGTATCACGTGGAACAATGGAGGAACTTACACTTGTTGGTGCATCATGGTATAGTTAAAACAAAAACAGTCGTTTTAAGTTCAAAATGAGTTAAATGTATGTTCCTATATGGTTAATGAAGTTCTTCTTTTATAAAACTACATTGATTCATGAACAAAGGCGTGTATGCAACAAAACATTCTTAGTTAACCTACCTTTCTATAAAGTCGTAAATTGAAGGTTTTCTTGCCCAGAAATTATTCCTCAAATCCGCAGTCTTTATGAACTATAAAAGTGGAACATTTCGCGATGTGGAAATATGAACTTTTTTTGCGTTGTCTTATTATAGATATATAGATTATATAGATTTCTCAAACATTGCTAACGCGAAAATGTCCACACCCGGATACTAATTAATGTATTATATATATTATAGATATACAGACGATATATATATTTGAACCATGGCTAATGCGAAAATGTCCACACTGCGACCAGTTAAAGAGTCATAACGCGGACATTTCCACACGCGAATATTTCTACGCTTTGCGCCCTTGCTCAAAAGTCAAGGTCCAAGGTTAAATAATCTTACTTAATCGGAGAATACAACGAAACTATTAACGTAATGAATTATAAACTACACGATATGTTTGCAGTGTTCTTGAACCCCACTTAAACGTTGAGGTCGAGTCACATTCTGCTTGTCAGGAGCATTTATTTTCTTCATTCAGTGAAAATATTTAATTAAAGAACATGAGAAGGTCACGTACTGCACTCTCTAGTGAAGTAACAGTTGTGTAAGAAATTGACAAATATAAAGCCAGACAGAAGTTTTGATCCTATCACAGATTTCATGTTAAAACTAAACGATGTACCTATATATTTTATCCGCTATTGTAACATTGACCTTTTTGTAAATGGTCAACAAAGTAGTGTGCGCAATACTTCATCTAGTGGCGATTCTCAAACTGTCAGCAAATAAATATGTAGTCAATTTGAAGGAAAGGACAGGAATGTTTATTCATTCTCAACTTCTGCATAAGTACTTAATACAATACTAACAAAGTGCACAATATCAACAATGACAAGTTAGATTATACAAGTAATAATAGATTGATATTTGTACGTGCCATATACATCTATATGTATAAGGTCACGCTAAGGGGTCTAATTTCACCGATTGCTGAAACAACATAATGTTGGTAAAAAAATTTAAGCTCTGAATTTAAAAGTTCATATTAAACACAAAGTTCTTGAAAAATAGGTGTAATATTATTCTACTCGGTTCTAATTGCACCCGTTGGAGAATGAATATAGCCAAATACTCGATACACAAGTTATTTTGAAATTGATATTTTTTCGTATTTATGGTGGATTTTGTACATAGTTTCATGTTTGATTAAACAGAAACAATTTGATGATAAAATAGGCCCCGCCTACAGAGCTAATAACTCAGCCCAAATAACCAGTCTTTTAACCGCACCTGAGATTGAATGGCCCCATACAATGACTTGGAATGATTTATATCCTGTGGGTATTGGTGAATATTTCCTAAACCAGGATTCACTGCATGATCAGATGATGAAAAGGATACAACTACCTCAAAACATCGAAAAGCAAATAATTTCCAAAACGTTGGAAATTCAAATTGTCCAAACTACTGATGAAATAACGGGGAAGTACGTTAGTAAAGAAGTCACAAACACAAAGCAGAAACAACAGATATCATAACGGCATATCTCAGATCAGAAGTAAGGAAACAAGGGAAAAACATGTCAGGGTGCGACCGGGTCCCTACCACAAATTTACGTAGGACAGAAACTATTCTGTCGGACAACAACGGAGTCACCGTCCGTATATAGAACAAGACTTCAAACCTTCCTCCCACCATTTACATAACTATCTCCCGTTTTACATGTTCAGGATGTTTCCGTCATCCCCTAAGGTTTTGAGAGATAGCAAGAAAACAGAACCAAACTATGACGTCATGGGAACAATAAGATATGATACTGGGAAATATCCACTCCGAATGTTGTAAATTGTAAATAGTTGTGTTATTTTTCCAAGAAAACCTGTGAGGCAATGTACAAAGAACATAAGAGACATGAAAATCAGACAAAAAGTTGTTTTGATGTCATAACAGTAGTGCTTTACATGTTGATAAACTACAGAGTCAGTGTTCCAATTCCCCAACGCTGACGTCGGGTACGTCTTTCCGCTGAGTGGGTCGTCTGATCCCATCGTCTGACATGAGGTCCGATTCACCATGTAAGGAGCGGAGTATGTCAAGGTCCTGTCAAAAGTAAGTACGTTAGACGATATACCCGAAATATGGGCCCGTATTTATGAAATAAGTCTCATGCTCAAGCATGAATTTTGTGCTCACGCCTTATTTCTTGTACCAATCATAAATTAACCAAAAATGTATGTTGGCAATGATTTGGAAAAGCATTGAATAGACTTAAAGCCGAATATTGTTTGCAAAGTTTATATTTGACTTTCCGATCGTTTGACATGATTTAGTGAGTTACAAGAAAGATAGTTTGAGCGCAGAATCCATACTTGAACATGAGAACGATTTCATGAATATAGGCGCTATATTCATGAAACCGTTCTCATGTCAATTTCTTGTTTCGGTAATAAATTGATATTTTACTTTTTATAATTAATTTGGAGGAATTTTGGACAGGCTTAAACCCGAACACCGTTTTCGATACTTAAACTTGCTTTTTTCACCGTGTCACATGATCTAAACAAGTTACAAGCTTGATCACGAGAACGGTTTCATAAATACAGGTCCTATTAGTGAGAAAACTGCCTTTCATATGTTTACATGTAAAGGAATGGTCTACATAGATTCCAGATGGGTTAAGCTGATTTATGAATAAAAATGGCTAAATAAAATATTGTTTTTAAGACATGAAAATCTTACCTTTCGAGAAATGACTATTGGTTTTTGTATTATTATCCAATGGACTCCCTCCGTACAAGGGGGCGTGGTCAGGGACCCAGTGTACGTGTAGCAATCTTGCTCGTTTGGCAGAACAGCGTACGGTTTGATCTCAGCTTTAATCTCGGCTGTAAGGTAAGACACACACGTATAAATATAGTATCACAATATGCCGAAAATGAACTAGAATTCATTAAAGATGTTAAGGATCAAAACAGTTGAACTCCACATTAGTGTAAAACTACTGTTGAAACAGAAGGGGAGGTGCATAAAACCCTGAATATGATAATATCCAAAGAAATAAATGACTACAGAACAATTTCAGATTAATGAGTAGGGTGTGTATGTTTTGAATCGAGATTATTGTAACCATAAAGGTTAGGGCACACCTCGGGAGCTGAGAAATACACCAACAGAGTTGTCTACCTTGTATCTTGACAGAAGATCATAAGACAAACACATCAGATTGTACCTATAAACGTTGGTCATAGATACATCATGTCCTATATTTGCGCCAATGCAGCTGTTTCGTCCTTCTAAGACTCATCGATGACGAGAGAGGCCAAAAAGTTGGAAATTCAAATTGTCCAAGCTACTGATGAAGTAAAGGGGAAGTACGTTAGCAAAGAAGTCACAAACACAAAGCAGAAACAACAGATATAACAACGGCATATCTCAGATAGGAAACAAGGAAAAACATATCAGGGTGCGACCGGGTCCCTACCACAAATCTTCGTAGGACAGAAACTATTCTGTCGGACAACAACGGAGTCACCGTCTGTATATAGAACAAGACTTCTCCTACCATCTACATAACTATCTCCCGTTTTACATGTTCAGGATTTTTTCCGTCATCCCCTTAGCTTTTGAGAGATAGCAAGAAAACAGAAGCAAACTATGACGTCATAGGAACAAAAAGATATGATACTGGGAACTATTCACCCCGAGGGTTGGACATGTCTTTGTTACACCCTCTAGGTAGGGGCCGATTATGTGATTCACATGTCAAAATTAAAACTACAATTTGTGATCCACATTTCAAAATGAACACTTCAACTGGTGATTCACATGTTAATTAATGTTTAGTAACAAAAACATTCACTTCGAGATAGTGGATAAATGATGTCATGCTCGACAAGTTTGTTTTAATTTTTCACATCCATACCGAAACAAAGGCAAATCTTTATTTTAGTATTCAAGTGTGGAAGATGTTAATTATCCTAGAGGGATCCTTAAAACATGTGCAAATCAGGTAAAAGGTAGGGAATATTCTGTTAATCAACCGGTAACGCAAATCATAATTGAGAAATGCAAGAAAATCTTTGATGAATTCGCTTGATGAAAGAACCTTATAGCTTGCCTGAATTTTGTAGAAAAAATAACAACAGAGTTATGAGAGTATAAACGATCGAGCCAGATCATGATTCGAACCCCTGGATCTCTGATCACAATGCTGTCGCTGCTACCAGACTTGTGTTTGTGAAATTAAGGGGCTGATAATGTATGTATGAAAAAAACTTGAGTTAACTATTTAGTGTTTTGCCTGCAACACGACAGTAACCCAGTAAGACAGTAATAGTTTTTTGGGTTTATTTTTTTTTGCAGTTAGCACGACCCTCAGCCGCAGGTTTATTAATGGGTTAGTATGATATAAGTAAACATGTATGTTTTAAGGTATTTCTTACCGTGGAGAGTTGCAATGTTTCCAATATAGTCTTCTACAATCCGTTTTACTTCAGCATTTGGAGGTTCAGCAGATTCCTCTTCCTTTTGAGTCAAAATAAAAACTATAATGTGTGATTCACATGTCAAAATGAAAACTTCAACTTGTGATTCACATGTTTTAGTAACAAAAACATTCATCGCATTTGCACTTTTCGCAGTCGATATTCCTATGGAAAAAGATCAAATCAAAACGCTTGTTATTTGTAATAATAAGCAAAGGAGCTCATAGATATACAACTGCAAAAATCAGTCCCAATAACATTTGTATAAATCCTCGAAATATGGAGCCAACGAGCAAATTAGCTTTACACAAGTATACAAATGGCATGAATTGAAACACAGTATGTAAAATGAAAGTGTTTTTGTTATAATTCAGACTATCACAGTTGCGCTGGTCTCCAGTCATGTTTGAACGACCAGACGTTATTTGTAGCATATTACTTATAACATTTGGTGATTCAATAATAAAACTTATATAACTTCATATTAATACTTTTTTTATATATAAGACTGTATATATTTCTACGTCATTATGTATGCATTGTTATATTATAAGGAGAGGACGTTTATATGTTTTGCCTGTTGCCTTTTCCCTTTTATGGAAGCCCCATAGAGTAAATATTCTGAAATATGATACCACAGTTGTTGAGTTAGCCTATAACCTACCTGTAGGGAGAGGAACACTCCTATGACGACAATGGACATGCCTCCTTCCTCTTTCCTCGTGTGGACTAGGTGAGCCTGTCACGATATAATGATTAGCTGTGTCGTCAACTTTTCACAGTTTTACTTGATCAGATGGTAAAAGATGGTGTGGCCAAGTTTGAATTTTCTAGATTCTTCAATTTTAGTTTTTGTTCATGTGAAAAATAAACATTTTCGTGGTAGACTTCGAATGCTGACGGACAAATTTACAACAGAGCTGCAGTTTGGTGAAGACAACAAACTTGTTTATTGTTGCCATCTTGGTTTTATTGAAAAGTAATTTCATTGTGTGAAAAGAATGTCAGTGTCTTTATTACGCTCATGTGTATGACTTGTTATTACGCTCATTTGTGTGACTTGTTATTACGCTCATTTGTGTGACTTGTTATTACGTTCAT